GATGAGATTCTTTAGGATTTGATTGATATCTTTCACAAAGACATGTAGCAAACATAATTTCTGGTCTACTAGCAGCTAGATACATGAGTGATCCAATCATGCCTCTATAGGTTGTTACATCCACAGGTTTGCCTGATGGATCAACAAATAACTTAGCTCCTGTAGCCATAGGTGTTCTCATCGATGATGAATTCGAGAGAGAGTATTTATTCAGAAGGTCATTCACATACTTCGACTGATTAATGAAAGATCCTTCTGAAGTTTGTTTTATTTGAAGACCAAGGAAGAAACTTAGTTCTCCCAACATACTCATCTCAAATTTGCTTTTCATCAACTCTGAGAATTTTTCGCAATGTTTTGCATTTGTAGAACCAAATATGTAACAACCCTCATATTCCATATACATAAAATTCACATCATCATACTCATAATACTAAAATAGTATCATTACAAAACATAGACTATCAAAATGTATCCTTAATACATAAATAAGTAAACTATTATCATCATTCAGACTTTTCCCTTGCCTTTGTGTTTCAACATACGCTGATCTGCAAAACAGGTTAGTCCAACATCTGAGAGTTAGACCAAAAGGTCTAGTGAGTGTATAATCTCATATAACAATATACATTCCAAACAATCAGTTTAGAATCAAACCTGTTCCGAAACATATCATATTTATGTTTCTCGTGGTTACACCGCCATTACAATTCCATATCTCTTTCTCGCTCGCGGTTACACCGCCATTATATCACTCTTGCGGTTACACCGCCATCTCACTCGTAGTTACACTGCCATTATATCATTCTCGCGGTTACACCGCCATCTCACTCGCAGTTACACTGCCAWTAYATCAYTCTCGCGGTTACACCGCCATCTCACTCGCAGTTACACTGCCATTATATCACTCTCGCGGTTACACCGCCATTTCACTTGCAGTTACACTGCCATTACATTTTATAAACATCTTCCAAAAACATTTCTCCTTTCATCCGGATTTGAAGTCCTGTCAGACTTGTCCGGATTAGTTATCCGGTCAATATACTTTAAACATAAACCAACTCCTTTGTCCGGATTAGAAATTCGGACAATACTTCACTTTCTTTGATAACCGGTTTAAAGATAAACCGGA